AAATACCTTTAAACATGATTAAAGCTGGTTTAGAATTCATTACATTATCGGGTATTCACTCATTATTACTGTTTTTTATGTGAACCATAAACAAACGGGAATTGTCACAACACAAACAGAAGAAAAAAAACGTTTAATAGAAAGTACAAGACAAAAAAAAAGTCGAAAATATTAAGATTCATTGTTTTACTATCACTTTATTCACTATCATTGCCTAACTTTTCCATGGTATTTTCGACTTAGTACTGCTTCAATAGAAAATGTATTTATAAATGTAAGAATTTCCTTTACTTAAACAAAAATAGAATTGAATGTGCCTGATAAATGCATGAAACTAACGGATCTTCTGGTAGAACGTTAAGGTTTCGATAGTTTGATTCTAAATTTAGGAAAATACGTGTTTTATAACGACGAAACAAGCTTGCCAAAGCTTCTGACCTAGAAACTATTTCTGATGGCACTACAGAACTACAGACTACCAGAATAGAATATCTGGATTTTTTTATTAACGATACAAGATGAGGTACCTTGTATAAGGATTAATTTACTGCTCCGGGAGTTTCGAAAATATCTCAATTGAACTATAAAACCGTTGCTTTAAACGAATTATATTTATTTTTTAAACTCATTTATTTGTTTGATATTGCATTTTATGACAGATATTAAATTTTTAATTTCACAAAATGAATAATAATAAAAAAACATATTAAATCTAGGATAAACGTTTATGATTTATCTTTCAAAGATCTTAAGGGCCAGTTGTACGATTGGATTTCGAACGAACGTTTAATTTAACTTGATTTAAATTTGAAGTAAGTCCATATTATGAATGTGTTGTACAATCATAGTTAACCAACGATCTCGTTTCATCACAAATTAACGTGATTCGGCCCGAAATCTCAGGATTTTTTAATGTTTTAATATAAAAAAAAGACAACCATCAAAGGAATATATATGTGATAGATAATTTAAAGGGAATAAATTATCTCTTCTGAACAACAATTATCGTCATAATTGAATTTAGAACAACATAGGCAAAATCTTCTTCATCGGTAATATCTTTTTCTTGGAGTAGGAAATAGTCCATACTGTTTTCAATTCGTTATTTAAAATCTAAAATGTAATTCACAATTTAAAATCTCTTTGAATGAAAAACGCGGTTGTGTTCGTATTGAGCTTAGTTAAACTTGGTTTAAATGACCATCATCGACTGTTCAGCATGAACTAGGTTTATATGAAAATTTCAATACACAACTCGCTCTTCTTATTATGTTAGATAAACAATTTGGAACAAGTAATAATATGATTATTGACGAATAACTTAAAATCAATTGCCTTTCATTGGACATTATCTATTAGCTTAGAATTTGAGATTTAGATATAGTAAATGGTATATCTGTGATAAATATATTAATTTAAAGAGAATACATTATCCTTTCTGAACAACTTATCTTCATAATTGAGTTCTCTAAAAACTTTTCTTTTCTCTCTCCTACATCTATCAACATTGACCCTTTGGAAGATGAATATTTTTCAAATATTTAAAACAGTTTCCATTTTTGTACAGGAGGCATTATAGTTTAAACTGTCATAATTTACTGGCGTTAAAAAAAAATCTATGGTATGTGCTTGAAAGCACACGTTAGAAGTGAAAGAATTAACAAGGCGGGATTAATAATATAAAATTCAAAATGCCGAATGGTGATTATTATTTTTTATTTTTTTTGGCGCTTAATTCCTTTTCGACGCTCCAACTCAGCGACACTTCAAAATGCAATTTAGATTTATACAAAGAGAATGAAATGCTCAAAATTTCCTTTACATACACTATGCAGGTCAGAATTTTAGTTTTTGAGATATTTTAATCTGTTTGTCCAACAAAAATCGTTGTCAGTTGATTTTCTGCACTACCTTTTCCCCTTTTAGCCACTCTAACACGGCGTCACGTCAAGATACAATTTTGATTAATAGCTCATTACAAAGAAGATAAAAAGCTGAACATTTCCCTTGGTAACGGTATGCAGGTCCAATTTATAGTTTATGAGATATTTAATCCAAATACAAAAAAAAACAACTTCAATTAGTCGACTCTATCCGACTTTACCCGAATGAGCGTTACAAACTCTCAGTCTCATTTACTACCCACAAAAAATGTGCAAAGTGCGCCTAAAAAGTTTTCATTTAAAAAAAAAAAAAACATTGTGTCCATTAATTTATTATTGATTAAGGTCATGAACACTACGTAAATAATAAGTTGAGGGAGGCTTGAGTCTTTCTCTCTGAATTACAAAACAGACCTTGATTTCATCCAAGACCTTGGAAATCTAGTTCCTACTCGATATGTTCCAAATATAGACTATCAATAGACCTGCCATTAAACTCGTTTCTTACTTTAATTTTTCATAAAATGCTTATGGAAATATTTGATAGTCTACTGGTATTGCATTCTGTCCAAAAAAAACATTGCATTAAATAATTCGGTTCTGTTATTTAATTTCGAAATCAGGCTAATTTAGGACAATGCATGAACATTTTTAATACTTTATCTCATAATTTCTTGATCTTTATACATTAGCGGAGAATCAAAAATTGTTTTGAGGCATGTTAAATTACTAAAAAAAAAAACTGACACAAATTACTCAATATATGGGTGAATAATTACAACTATATTATATAAATAACATACCTTATATATAAACAATATATCGATACAATATTTTAATATTATTAAGGATTTTTGAAATTCACAAAATATTAATGGTTTACCCACGATGTGGTAACTATAAAACAAATTACTAACTCATATATATAAGAAAATACTCTACTTGTGAAGGACGTTGTCCTTCTCTTAAAAGAACGAGGAAGTCTCCAAAGCTTACCTCGTCAGACCTCTTGTCTTATCGGTGTTCTTTCCCGTTCTGACAAATAAAGGAATATGTTAAAGTTTCTGAGATATTACCTGCCAACAGGACTACAAATATTTCTTAAAGCATATATTACTATTAAAAATTCCTTTAAGTATATTTAGCTTTGTCAGAAATGATATAAGACCAACTTTAATGTCGGAATTTTATTTCTGGATACAGATTTAATTTTTTTTTCTCTTCGTCCATAGTTCTAATTAAACAAAATATACACTCAAAATTTATAATACTTGTTTATATTGAACCGCTTCGGGGACGCATTGTCTCCTGGTTCAGCTTCTAGAATTATATAAATAACACATTATAGGTTCTACAATAAAACAGTCATTAGAATTTATTTTAAATTATTGACATTTTTAATTCACTTTAAATAATTTTCTAATTAAAAACCATTAATAAAACAATAAAATTTACTTACATAATATGTCCCAGTATTGGTTAATCCTAGAACAATTTTGGCCATCATTGGTTAAGCGTTGAACAATGATTAAGCATTCATTACTCTAAAAAGGATAAATTGAGAGATAAACTTAGGATTGGGGAGGGTAAGTACTGAATTGTCTTTTATAATTCGATTCAATTTATATATAATGTATTATTTATACAATTCTAGATGCTGAAGGACAAAGCATCCTTTCAACGTCCAAATAAAAATCACAAATTATGAATGCTTATTTTGTTAAATTAGATCTATGGTCAAGGAATGAGGAGGAAAAAATTTAGTCTGCATTTATTTATTTATTTGTATAATGAATTCTTAACTGTAAGCGCAATGAAGATATACTCCATACTGCTCTTAAAAGAAAATATAATAAATTTTATAATGGTGGTGAGAGTTGACTGTTAATTTAGTAGAACTTGTGGAAGTTGGTGTTACAACTTATCAAAGTAAAATATAAACAAAAAAATATATTTTATTACAACGTTTCGGTATAAGTTTTAAGGCTTCATCTGGGCTCCTCGTTCAGATGTCCGGCGAATGCGGTTCATAATAAATGTGATAGTTTTTAAATTTTATCAAATAAAAAATAGATTTTATTGAAATAATTTAGGCTGTGTTGTTTTTCACCATATTAGTGGCTTCATGTAAAAGATGGAAATCCGTCATCTTATGAAAGTGGAGAAAAAATCAATTTCTGTTTTATAGCTTCAAATCAAACTATTCTGATGATATTATTTGAGAATATTTAAGTTGACTTATGAAAACCGATAGTTATAATTGGTTTAAAGTGAAGTTATATTAAAAAAATTTGTTTTTTTATTCACAACTTTTTAAAAATTACAGAAGTCCGTTTTTGAGACCACTTATATATTTACCCATTTAACAATTTGTATTTACATGGCAACATTTTGCTCGTTGCGCCACTTTTAGTCCGGTTGGTTTATTTTATCTCTCAATACAACATCGTTAAATTACGGTAATACACTTACTGTACTAAAAAGAAATTTCATCTTAAATTTAATTTATAAAAATCAAATAGATTGTATTAAATAAACTAAAGAAATAATTTAAAAAAAAATAATAAAAAATAATTGAAACATTCTAGTTATAGTATGGAATGGTTAATTATTTTAAATAAATAATATTAAAATATTTTAAACCCTGTCTGATTAGTTTAATGAAGACAAAACCTGGTTGATATTAAAAAAGCACAAGGTTTTTTCATTGATGTGACCAATTCAATCATAATTGTTTGAGCTTGTTTTAGAGATAATTGTAAAAATTAGTAAATTGGATGATACAAAGTGCCACTTCCGGATAGTCAATTTCGATGAAATATTAAAATATTGAAATAAAAAAAAAATGGGTACTTATTAATTACGCCCCAACCCCATGCTATGATTCCAAATATTAGTGATTATTGATTAAAGACCAGTAATTTTAGAAATAGTTTAGAATATTTTACATTCACAATTATTTTACAAATTAATTAACTTTTTAGTTCAGCTACTGAGCTAACCTGCTATTGGGAGTCAAGAATGATTATTTAAGATAATATTAATGATGATAAATCCTAATTACGAAGCATAATTTTGTGCTGCTAAGAGTAATTTATTTCTGTTAATGATGTACCCATGGTGAAGCCTATCGTTACCGGTAGTAAGTGGATAGTGAAGAGCCCTATTTTCAGCCGCCAAAGACTATTAGTTTTATCAGCCGAGGAACAAACTGGGGTGCTTTTCTGTCTCAACGGTTTCAAACTCATTCGACATGGCCTGATGTCGCAACGAGATACTACCGTCCGCAGTGGACGGAGTTGCAAGAGGCTTCGCAATCAACCGTGGCTTTCTTTTCTAGCTGTTGGCAACCCTGAGGCATCTAGTAATCTAGTAACAGTACAGTTCAGTGAGTATTGGACAACTAAGTCACAATGGAAATAGGCGATTGAATCAATAGTATTCCTATTCATCACTCCATTATCAGTTTAAGACTTTAATTATAAACGAAGTTTATAGAATTTACACATATTACTTTCACTAATGCGATAGAAAAAAGAAATAGATTTTTCAACAGAAAAAAGTTTTGAATCCAAAAACGAGTTTCGCAAAGCGGTCTGTGATAATGAGAAAATATAAACAGCCTATTCCCAAAACGAAAATTCGTAAAGTTAAGGAATGGACTTAATCCGTAACAAATAATAATAACAATAATATTAAGTTAACCTTCATTTTAATAATTGAAATTGTTAACGGGCCAATTGCTGAGTCATGTATTGACAATTCCCATAACTCAAAGCAAAAGCTATCTCTGGTAGCTTAGAAGTAGTTATCTAAAAGGCTGGACACAAAAAGTCCCATTATCAAGACTTAGAAAACAATAACAGATTTCAACAAAAAGACCTTTCTCACAGACCTCATATCAATACTAAAAGATAATGATAGCAATTTTCAATAGTTAATAGCTGCAGCTCTTTCTCATAGCCTGGTGTTGCACAAAATCCACCAAGACCAAGAACAAGGCCGCCTAACTGTTGCATGACCAAGACCAGGACTGGTTTTTGAATTTTGAAAAGTTTTTGAATGACTGATTGAAATCGATTTTTTGAATAAAAATTAAGGCAAGATAGTTACTAATACTTGACAATCTTAGTTAGTATATGTAAAGAATTGGTATAACCAATATACTTTTGCATTTAAATCCTCTAATTTTTCATGCGGGCTTAGTTAGGTTTCTCCTATATAAAAAAATACTGTAATATCTTTAATGTAATAAGCTAATAAGTAACTGCAAGACTGTTGCGAGACTCTTGTGCAAGACCAAGACCATGACGAAGACTGAGTTTGCAAGACTAAGACTCGCATTTGGTCTCGCATTTGGGCAACGCTATCTTATTAAAACCTCATATTAAGAATATCAGTTGTTAATAACTTCTCATAACCATCTTTCCCAGGCTTCCTAGACCTCCCATATTTCCTTCACCCTACCCCCTATTCCAGTATATAATCCTCATGCTCCTCTGGGGTAATCACTCATACAGTTACATTCTTGAAGTCATACACTTGTCAGGTTACCAAGATCTATGATCTATGAGACCTGGAGTGAACTCTTGTAGACAATTTACAGTCATAGTATATTTTTGTATTATAGATGCTATTTGTAACAGACATTATGAATAAAAGTGTTACTTATAAAGTCCTCCCTGCCTCCGATACGTTGACTGTATGATAAATATTCCATCATAATCGTCTATCCAGAAGTGGCACTTTGTATCTTAGAATTTACTAATTTTTACAATTTTCTCGAAAACATCTCTAACAATCAACTCATGTTAGCTTTTCCCTGAGGAAGATCTCGTGTCCTGCTGTGACAATAGACAATAAACCAGCTATCTCAAAAACACATGTATCTTGGACTATATTTGGACAAAAAACTCACCTGGAGCATTCACACTAAATTTAAAAAAAAAGAAGTGACCAGACGATACAAACAACTGTCACATCTTTTGGACTACAGATCTCCACTCAACTTACTAAACAAACGATTAATCTACACCACTAAACTAAGACCTGTTTGGACATACGGAGCAGAACTCCGGGATTCCGCAAAACACACACACATAAACAAAATTCAAACCACACTATCCAAAATATTCAATGCTCCTTGGTTTATTTCAAATCACACCATACAAACAGCCATGAACATACCAAAAGTAAAATCCTACATACATTACAAGTACACAACATTTCATTTTACTACTCTCAATCATCCAAATCCACTCGTTCTATATCTATCTTCTTCTCTGTCGCCTGGTGAGCCTCAAAGACAGTGGCCTAGAGATCTAATGCTGAAAAGTTAAGAAAATATCAAGGATTCAAGGAGATAGAATAAACTCCAACATATTTGCTTGATGCGTTACAACGCAGTGGCCAATATAATGGAAAATAAATAAAAAAAACAAAAACAATTATAATTAAATTCGTCACATCAATGATAAACCTTGTGTTTTTCAATATCAAGCAGGTTTTGTCTTTATTGAAGTAGTCAGACAAGGTTTAAATTATTTTAATATTATTCATATCAACCATTTCATACTGTAACTAAAATGTTTCAATAAACAACGCTTAACGAATTTGATAATTTACAAAAGTAAGAGTTAGTCATGAATACTTTATTTGCAGGACTCGTTCCTTCTAAGATAACAAAAAATACATTTCAAGGAAAACAAATCAAGTGTTTAATTCATTGTTTACGACTTTAATTTTTTTCATTGCTGTACTTTAAACAGAAGTAAACGAATTTTAAAAATAAATGCCTTTATACCAATGTCTCACTTTATATGAAATAGTTTTGAAATAAAATTATCTGAAGTTTATTGTTACAGTATGGTTTACAAAAAAAATTACCCTCAGGACTATTGATCTAAAAACCAAATTAAAAATTAAAAAATAAGTAAATTCTTCTTTTTTACTGGGAAGCTGTATAATATTCTTTATTTTTGGCAATGAAGGTACCTTCCAGATACCTGGAATGTTTCGTTTCCAAAAATAAAGAATAAAAATAAGTGGTTTGATTTATTTTTTCTCCTTTATTCAATTGTCAAATTCTTTCAAAGGTTATATTTAGCAGTTTTCCATTACTGCTAACAATGAAAGAAAGTTAGTTATTTAAAATAAACCAAATTAAAGGTACTTTAGAGCAAGAAATTTCGGAAATTCGACATTTGAAACCTGTTAAATGACATCAATGTGGCTAAGACCTAAATGATATTAAAGACCATTTAATTTTACAATGATATGCCGAGTTTAATTAAAATCGTTAGAGCTGTTTTCTATAAATTTGTAGAAATGTGTAAAATCGATGATATAAAGTGGCACTTTCGGTGTTCCAGAACATTTTTACGAAAATGTTGCTATAACATTCCAGGCATGCAGCTATCTCAAATACATAATCTCAGTTTCGTACGACCTTTCGTTTTTGAGATAGACTGTTAACATATATAGATAGATAGAAAGTAAACTTTATTCTGGGACAAAGTCCCTTATGAATAACAGATATGAACAAAAAAATAAAAACTACATCTGGCCAAAAATTACATTAATCAATATTAAATAATATATACAGTATCTTCAGTGAAGTTAAATTAAAACAAGTAAAAATAAAATAAAATTTTGAGAAAAAACGAAATAAAAAAAACATTATTTAAATGAAAAAAAAATAATAAAATAAAATAAGCATGGGTTGATTTTTAAAATTAAGACTCAATAAATTTTATCAACCATTCACCTCAGTCAAAATCTGTTTCACAATATTTATTTTATTGTATAACGTCATTTTGGGATGTGAGAAGGAATTGGTAGAGATGATATTTAAATGAGGACAAGGAGGAGGCATGGCGGATTTCAGATGGCAAGGAATTATTTTATATAATTATTTATATATATATATATATATATATATATATATATATATATATATATATATATATATATATATATATATATAACACAGACCATTTTCCGGGACTTGGACTCATAGGATTAAAAAATTTCACTATCGCAATGATTTCCTTACTATATATTACATATATAGATATGAAAGTGAACGTAAGAACTCAAGTAATAACCTGAGACAAATAACTCTCAAATTCAGTTCCTGCTTAAAACTATCCGTGTTTAGATAATCGCTCCACACCATCTCATAAGTCATATTCGTTAAAGTGACCTGAACTTTATTAATCCCTTGATTATTGGATTTTACACATAGTCCGTACCTTATCAAATTTGGGGGGCTGTAACTTGATATGAGTGAGAGCACTTTAAAAAAATTGTTTAAGATAACATTTTAAAGATATGTTAAAGGAAGCAAAATATCTTCTATTACTGGTAAGTAATTTAGATGGAATGAGTAAAAGATGGCAAAGGTTAGCAGTAGCAGCGTGCAGCACGTAAGACCACTTTCAGATACAAGTTTTCATTTTCAAAGATCAGCTAAAATTCGTACGAGGCCATTAATTAACTTTCTACAAATAATTGCTTCATTATCCCGCTTTCAGACCTCACTTTAATAACCACCAATAATGTAAAAAAAAAAAAAAAACATAGATATTTCAAGAAAACTAATCATCATGCTCTACTTTTTTATCCCAAAATTAAAGATCCATTATAATATGCTTTATCTGGGCATGTAATTGGAGGATTTATGCGGATTCGTACTGTCATAGATGGAGGGAACAGGTCCAGCAAGCGGGTATTTTTCTACAGTTTCAAAGTAATCAAAATTGTTTTGAAGTATAAACGGCTAACTTCTGAGCAAGATGATCCTTTATATAGGGATGTAAATATTTAAACAAATATCGATATATGTTTATCATATAATAATCATAACTAAATTATTTAATTTAGGGTAAGAATAATAAGGGCTGTAATAAACTGTCCATGACACAAAATAGAACGTTATTGTCTTTTAACCGTTAGAGATAGTTCTTGTTTGTCAATGAGGCATACGAATACATGCTTGAGAAGATACGTTCTCTAAACTCTACAGGTATTTATATAAAGACGAAAAAAAGAAAAGAAAAAAGAGATTGAGAAAATAAAGAGCTTCAGTAAATAGAAAGATTCAAGAGTAACGTTCAGTGCATTTAATTTCATCTAAAGATGGATAATGGGCAAAAACCGCTCAAGCTTCGAACCCCAGCCAGGAAGGACTCAAGGAGAAAAACTTGACCTTGGTCAAATATTGGAGATGAACTCGAGCCCCCTCGCGAAAAGGAAATGAACGAAGTCATTATCCAGTTAAAAAAGAACAAAACTATTTTGTATTGATCAAAAAAAATTTCATTAAATTTCAATCAATCTGAAGTATCAAAATGATTTTACCATTTTGACGAAATGCCTAAACTTTACCTTAAAACTTTTTCAATTGACGTGTTATGAAATAT